TCGCCGCGCGGATCGGGTCGCTTTTTAGATTTCGTACTTTGTGAGGTGCCATCCCGCGCACGGCCAGCGCTGCTGGCAACAGACAACATGATAAGCACTAGAGCACAGGCACTGGAACGTCTCATGAGACAAGAAATTAATGGTAAATAAACACGAAATGTACCAAAGTCTTAATGTTTCTCTACTCTATTTCGCCTATAATCACCTGTAAATGCCGGTCAAATGCTCATATGCAACACACAAGTACACCGCACGCCCGCCCTGTGCTGCGTGCACAAACAACATGAATAAGAGAGTCTCTTATTCATGTTGTTTGTGCACAGCGCGGGCGTGCGGTGTACTTGCGTGTTGCAGATGAGCATTTGACTGGCATTTACAGGTGATTATAGGCGAAATAGAGTAGAGAAACATTAAGACTGGTACATTTCATGTTTATTTACCATTAATTTTTTTTATTGAGACATTCCAAGTGCCTGTGAATAAGAGAGTTGCACATGTGCAAAAAAACAACTGCACATGTGTCATTGTGCAGCAGCTAGCATGCGGCAGGCGAGTTTTTAAACCGTAGGATGGCGACTGAAGATTGATAAATTATTCATGACATCACACATGGTTCGCGTTTCTGATTTGTGCGAAGTAATAATTCACTTTACTCAAGACCACTAGTGGTTACACTAGAAGACCCACTTTTTCGCGAGGAAATTTTCCTTGGCCGTATTTACTGCTGAGTGACTGTTTATAGAGGCTTGTAACACGTTATTGGACCATCGGTGACTTCACGAGCCCAAAACCATATCCCTAACCCTAACCCTAACCATAACCCAACCCTAACCATAACCCAACCCTAACACTAACTCTAAACCGACTCGGCTATCTTATATACGCGTGTCATAGTACCAAATTAATCTATGGTGTGGGAAAGCGACGCATACCACGCTGCGAGACTGCTCGGATGAATAGCGCATAACCATATCCTTAACCCTAACCCTAACCCGAACCCTAACCCTAACCCTAACCCTAACACAAGGCTCGACACTAGCGGTGGCCCGGTGGCCCGGGGCCACCAAAACTTGATGTCGGGCCACCAAAATTTCCAAAAGTTGAAATTTGGTGGCCCGATCGGGCCACTAAAATTTCAAAGTGTCTATGTGATAAAAATAATTGTTTCTTACGTGCTAATCTCATTCAAAATAACAAATGTGGTACTACGCACGACTGAAATTTTACGTTTATAATCGTAGCAACAGACCTCAGATGAGCCCAGACGCTCTGCGGCTCTTGTTTGTTATAAATATGAATGTTAGGTAGCATTTCCCTTCGAACAGTAAAAACAGTTATTTGTAAAGTATATGAATTTAGACTACCTTTGCTTATGAGACTTCCAAAATTTCATATAGAGTTGTGCCTGGCTATCTGTGATTCCTCTTTCCTTCTTCTGTGCCTGTGACACCAGGAATGCGTCCAGTTGGTCAAAATCCATATCAGCTGATGCTATATTCTGAATGTCATTCATTCAGAATAAAAATTCATACAAGCACAAGTTTATTACACAATTGGGATGGCCACATTTCGATGCAATAGTATTGCCAATCACGTAGCCTAGCCCTGCCATAACACCAACAGGTCAATGACTAGGCCAGATTACATATATCGTCACGGTGCAATCTGCTATGCATGGTTTAAACCAGAGCTAGAAGATGTAAGATTTTGTCACGCAACTAACTACTGCCAGAATGGTCTAACTTATGAACTTAGTTATAAGTTATATAAATCGACTTTATATTTTGAAGTGGACACTGGCATTCTTGTTAAAATTCGCCCAACTTACTTTCAACATGTTACGTGCTTTTAACAATATCCTACTGAATTCGTCGTCTGGGATTTGTGGATATATCTGGTCTTTAATAATTCCATCCGTGATAGTTTCTTCCCCATAGTAGTCCTGTTTTGCTATTCCATGAAGCATGGCTAGGAAGCATTCGTTTTCATTGTCGTCAGCCATGACTCTGCTGTTAACATCGTAATTCGTGCTAAAGTTAGTTAGATATATTTGCCATTAAATTATTACAGAAGAGTAACAGAGTTGGTTGGAACAATTAAATTATAATATATGCTGTGGTACCACCTCTACTATTCTTCTCTTTTTTTTCTAATTGTTTTGCTGAATATTGCTGAAACACCCCAAAACCATTGAATCAGTCAAAGGTAGCCTGTAGGGCTCCAATACTGGCATTTCTAGAAATTCGTTTGAAACATTCCATTAGGCCCCCTATCGGCGTATCGCGAATCTGAAGATAGCGGGTAGTGGGGCACACTTTTGGTTTTAACTGTTCATTTTCTGTTACCATACTTTCAAAGACAGGGGTAGCTGTTCGCTGAGAACAATATATACACTCAGTGTCGATTGTATCTAATAATACTAATAGTAGGCAGTGGCTACACGTCCGGAACCGGTCGCCTAGCCTCCAGGCTACGCATCCGGACATCCACTCACACAGTGATCGCGCGACTCGCGTACATGCATGATTGCGCAACGGGACGCTCTGCTGATTGTCAAAAATATACAATATATGCACTACTGCCATCTATCCTTTCATCCGTCCTCTCTCGCTCTCTTTCACACACACGCACAGCTCTATCTCTCTCCCACACACCTCTAGCTCTCTCTCTCTCTCTCTCTCTCTCTATCTCTCACACACACACACACACACACGTGCGCGCGCACACACACACGCACACACACCTCTAGCTCTCTCTCTCTCTCTCACGCATACACACACACTTACACATTCCCTCTCTCTCTCTCTCTCTCACGCATACACACACACTTACACATTCCCTCTCTCTCTCTCTCTCTCTCACGCACACACACACTCGGCAATGAGCAGAGCGTACCGTTACGCAATCATGCGTGTACGTGTCGCAAGATCACTGTGTGAGATGGATGTCGGCTCCTCGTCCGGAACCGGTCGCGTAGCCACGGCCATTGATTATGCAATGTTGACGAATGCTAGAGTAACTGGCACCTTGTGTAGTTAATAAGTATGTAACCTTATAGCCTAACGCGTATTAGTTTGTCCAATATCACTGCTGGTTACATTACAAGCAAGACTTGAAATCGGTTGTTGATATTCATTTACGTGCCGTAAATGTCATCCAGGAGTCAAGCGTTAAGTCGCCGATGACGTAAACATTTGTGCGGCCCGTATGTTTTGGACGCCAGATGAAATGGAGGTGTCAGCGGTGTAACCACGGCCACGGACTAAACATGTAAATGGAGTAAAACACACGTACAAATCACGGACGCACATGGACAGCCCTGACAAAAAGTTCCTTATCACGAGCGTCCGTGTTTACGAAATCACTGATGATAGCATTGCGTACGGCCGAGCATGTGTGCGAAAATGTCCGGTGCACTGTAAATCTGTATCACACCCACTTCGCCGGCAGCGGTTTGAAACTGTAAACAACTCAGTCAACTGATTTCTTGGACTGCGGATTTCAATTAGACATTTCTTAGTAACCAGTAACACGACCAGGCTGTGTGACTAACGTCAATATACACATTAGTCGGTATTCTAACCCTAGCAATCCCATTTCTTGGAGCTAAGTAACCAGCGGTGCAAATCCACTTTAGGCACCTTAGGTATCACGAAGTGATGCACAGATTTCTGTGTATCATCAACTGATGCACATACTTTCCGTATATCAAGGAATGATGCAAAAACCCTAACCCTAACCATAAGCCTAACCCTAACACACTTCGTGATAACTAATCCTAAGCTAAGGTTATACTTTATGACTTAGGGTTAGGGTTAGGGTTTTTGCATCATTCCTTGATATACGGAAAGTCTCTGCATCAGTTGATGATACACAGAAATCTGTGCATCACTTCGTGATACCTAAGGTGCCTAAAGTGGATTTGCGCCGTAACCAGCAGTGATATTGGACAAACTAATAGTACTACTACTAGTAGTACTAGTACTTAGTACTTTGGTACCACTCTGAAACTCGTAAAAACGCACTGCCTAGTTAGGCTAGTACAGTACTACTACTACTAGTACTAGTACTAGTAGTAGTACTAGTACTAGTAGTAGTACTAGTACTAGTAGTACTAGTAGTAGTACTGTACTAGCCTAACTAGGCAGTGCGTTTTTACGAGTTTCAGAGTGGTACTGTTGTGCGCAAACTTGGAATCTTGCACAAACTTGGAATTTCAGCGCATCCGCAGTTTGGGCAACCAATCTTGAGATTGGGCAAACAGAGGTAAACAGAGCTTGCACAAACATATGATTATTAGGATTTCAAATGTTATATCATAACTATATAATTATAAGGTCGTATACCTTCTTTCCTCAATGTGTTTAGCACCTTTGTATAAATATTAAATGATTATAATAAATAATTGGATAAATATGAGATAAATTTCTTCCTATAGTTTGCACCACGCACACCACACACTCGCTATGAGCGGTTGTTGAATCACCGACTGTTTTCAGTTTGCCCAATCTTGAGATTGGTCAGCCAAACTAGGGAATCCGCAGTTTGGGCAGCACAATCATTCATTCATTGCACAATCTCGAGATTGTGCAGATTCCAAGTTTTGGTACGACAGTACCAAAGTCTGGCAAAGGCTAAGGGAGTTAGTGAAGGATTAAGGGAGTTTGAAGACAAACATTTACACAAATTACATGGTTATAGCTAATAATACTAGTAATATATTTTAGTATAAAAATTAGTGGACCACATACATGATGATCTTGTATCTACACAATACATAGCAGCCCAGAGGCGCCATCTATCGAATAAAATGGGTATTGAAATTTTGACCAACTTTCACATACAACCCAGTGTATCTGGGTACCTATCATGCTCTGTGAAAAACTAGGAAAACGACAAATCTGGTGTTCTCTTTCTTGAAGTAGAGCAGTTGTTTACTGCACTACAGTAACCACAAATTGCTTTGAACCGATTAAATAGTTGCCCGCTTCATTCGCCAGAGGCAGCACCATCCAACCGCAAGCAGGTTACTGAAAGTGTTATGTTCAGTCTGTGTTGTAAATATTGATTTCTGTGAATTTCATTTATATGCTTAGTCTCAATTATAGTTATACAACCCTTTCCCTCTTTTCACGCATTCTGTAAGCGTATAATGGACTTCACAACGGAACAGTCATCCAGCCTGCAGAGCTGTAAGTGGCGAAACTAAACGTCTGCGTAGTTATACTACTTATAACATATACTTATAGTTACCACAGCCTGAGCCTGCACTTGGAACGTCTCAATAAAAAAAAGGTAAATAAACACGAAATGTATTTACTACCAAAGTCTTAATGTTTCTCTACTCTATTTCCCCTAAAATCACCTGTAAATGCTGGTCAAATGCTCATCTGCAACACAAGTACGCCGCACGCCCGCGCTGTGCACAAACAACATGAATAAGACTAAGAGCACAGGCACTTGGAACGTCTCAATGAAAAAAATTAATGGTAAATAAACACGAAATGGCGGCGAAATGTACCAAAGTCTTAATGTTCCTCTACTCTATTTCGCCTATATACCTGAAACTGCTCGGTCAAATGCCATCTGCGCAACACAAGTACGGCCGCACGGCACCGCGCTGTGCCCACAAACAAACATGAATAAGACTAAGAATCCAGGGCATCAGGTAGCTTGGAACGGCTCTCATGAAACAACAGTTAATGGTAATAGAACACGAAATGGTACAACAGTCTTAATGGTTTCTCGTACTCTATTTCGCCTATAAATCACCTGTAAATGGCCGGTCGGTGTGGGGAGAGAGAAAGGGCGCGGGCTATGCATGAGGGGAGGCCCGGGGCGGGAAGCGAAGCGCGAGGCGGGTGGGGAAGAGGAGGAACACGAACGTGAAAAGGCAGGAAGGGGAGACGGTGCTACAGGAGGAATGCAAAATATCCTCTGCAACACAAGTACGCCGCACGCAGCCGCCTCGTGCACAAACAACAATGCATAAACTAAGAGCCAGGCACTTGGTAACGTCTCAATGAAAAAAAATACTAATGGTAAATAAACACTGCAATGTACCAAAGTCTTACTGTGTTTCTCCTACTCTATTTCGCCTATAATCACGCTGTAAATCACGGTCAAATGCTCATCCGCGAGAGCACACAAGTACGGCCGCACGCGCCGTGCTGTCACAAACAACATGAAAAGAGACTACAAGAGACAGGTTACTTGGAACGTCGTCAATGAAACAAATCTAATGGTAATAAACACGAAATGTACCAAAGTTTAATTGTTCTCTACTCTATTTCGCGCTATAATCACCTGTAAATGCGCGGCAAATGCTCATCTGTCTGCACCCCCACACACACAGTACGGAGCCGCAACGCACCGCGCTGTGACAAACAACAGAATAAGACTATAGAGCACAGGCACGTTGAACGTCTCAATGAAAAGAAATTAAATGGTAAATAAAACAACGAAAGGTGTACCAGAGTCTTAATGTTTCTCTACTCTATTTCGCCTAACTAATTCACCTGTAAATGCCGGTCAAAGAATCCATTCTGCAACAGCACAAGTACGTCTCGCACGAACCGAGTGTGCACAACAACTATGAAAAGACTAAGAGCACAGGTAACTTGGAACGTCTCAAATGAAACAAATTGAATGGTAATAACACAGCGAAAATGTACCAAGTCTAAATGTGTCTCATACTCTATTTCGCCTAATCATCTGTACCACATGCGGTCAAATGCTCATCTGCAAACACACAAGTACGGCGCACGCCCGCGCTGTCACAAACAACCATGAATAAGAGCTAAGAGACCAGTCACTTGGAAACGTCTCAATGAAAAAAATTAAGGCGGTTAAGGCGGTGTGAGCTTGCGTGTTGCAAGGAATGAGCATTTGACTGCGCATTTACAGGTGATTATAGGCGAAAGTAGAGTAGAGGAATACATGTAAGATCTGGTACATTCATGTTTATTATATCCATTAAAATTTTTTAATTGGAGACATATCTCATAGTGCCTGTGAATAAGAGAGTTGCACATCGTGCAAAAAAAGCCACGGCACATGGTTGTCATTGTGAGCAGCAGCTAGGCATGGCGGCAAGCGAGTTTTAAAACGTAGATGGCGATACTGAAGATTGATAAATATTCATGACATCACACATCGTTCGCGTTTCTGATTTGTGCGAAGTAATTATAATTCACTTTACTCAACGACCACTGTGTTATCAGCTAGAAGACCGCACTTGGTGTGTGGCGTAGAGCAGAATTTTCGCTTGGCAACGCTATTTACTGCTGAGTGAGCTGTTTATAGCAGGGCTTGGTAACAGACGTTATTGGACGCATCGCGTTGGTGACTCACGAGCCCCAAAACCATATCGCCTAACCTAACTAACCTAACATCAACCGCAATACCCTAACGCAATCAACCCCAACGCTAACACCTAACTCTGAAGGACCAACTTACGGGCCGCGCTATCTTATATACGCGTGTCATAAGTACCCAAAGATTAATCTATGGTGTGGGAAAGCGACGCATACCACGCTTGCGCGCCGACTGCTCGGCATGAATAGCGCATAACCATGATCCTTAACCCTAACCCGCTAACCCGAGAACGCCGTAGACCATAACCCTAACCCTATCCCTACAACAGGCTTCGATCTGGGCTAAGCGGTGGCCCGGGGCGCGCGGGCGCGCACCAAAACTTGATGTGCGGGCCACCAAAATTTCCAAAAGTTGAAATTTGTGCCCGATTCGGGCCACTAAGCAATTTGCAAACGTGTTCCTATGTGATAAAAATAATTTTTCTTACGGCTAATCTCATCAAAAGAGAGGCAAGCATTCGCGAGCGAGGGCACACGGTACATAGCAATTTGGCGAAAGCGTCAGCACACATGTGATTACAGTTGTATCGAAATCATAAACCGCGACAATGTGTCTAGACAATACGCGACCTGTCTGGCAGTGTACTTGGAGGGCGTGTGAAAAATGAACGCGAGCGATGAGAGCTTTCGAAGGCTAAACTAAAATGATGAATAAACGTGAATGATAAAATGAATAAAATGGAGTAAATGATATGAAATGAAATGAAAATGAAAGAAATGATAAAATGAATGATAAATAAAGTCATAATAAAGAAAATGATGAAGTATTCTCTTGCCTTTTTTGATGTCAGTTTGGTTCAAAATGTTAAAAAATAGCGGGAACCACACATCGTCCCGGGAAGGTCGGTACGGGACGCGGGAACAATGGCGCAAAATACGGGACGTCATGGTCACCCCTCTGATTGCTTATGAGCCTCACTGGTGGCTCACTGTTTCGCGATCCCGAAGGCGAAACGTGCCAGCGTTCGAAAGTTCGCAGAGTAGAATAACTGAACCATATTCCTATGAAGATGACAGTATTTTAATCCGAAGTTGTAATATTCAGTGCTTTGTTATTAGTTATTTATGCATTTCCTCCTGTCTCTTTACGCAACGAAATATTGAACTAGACATGGCTGCTTTTCTTTTTAAATGCATCGTACCCAGGCTAACGTAGACTTTGTTGATATAATTATTGGTTCTACTTTATCTTATTAAATACTGCAATATTTTATTTTTCCCTGTTCAAAGCCTGCCAGACATTTTAACTTTCATGAGATTATAATGTATATTGTTTTATGTTAACGATGAAAAGACAAGTGATGTTGTGTTTATTACAGTTACTTGTTTTAAGTATTTTGCATGCTCTGTGACTTGATCTTTCTTGAACGTCTGAACTGATCGATAGCGATGTGCACGCGCGGTTGTTTAGATAAATAATGGATGAAAGTAGAAAATGGTATGCACGCAAGATTCTGGTGAAAATTTGATGGCCGTGGAATGGATAATTCAAATGTATGGCCTCAATCATCAATGTCAGTGTGTGCCATTGTGTGGGATTTGTTTAAAGAGCTTGTGCAAGTGCATCAGACGGCGCCAATTTTCCAAATAATATACAATATGAAATAAAGATTTATGTTTTCTTTGTTTTTTTTCGGGCCACCAGATTTCATTTTCTGGCGCGGCCACCAAAATTGAAAATCAATTGATTTGGTGGCCCGATCCGGTCGCCACGTGGAAAAAAAAAGTTAGTGTCGAGCCTTGCCTAACATAACCCAACTCTAACCCTAACACTAACTCTAATTCTAAACAAATCTAAGCGACCGGCAACGAATCAGAAACGCGAACCATGTGTGATGTCATGAATAATTTATCAATCTTCAGTCGCCATCCTACGTTTTAAAAACTCGCGTGCAGCAGCCAGCGTGTGTTGCAGATGAACATTTGGACGGCATTTACAGGAAATTGTCGGCAATAATAGGTGAAAGAGAGTAGCGAAACATTGAGACTTTGGTAGTAAATAGATTTCGTATTTATTTAGCTATATATTGTATTGAAACGCTCCAAGTACCTGTGGTCGTAATTACTATACAGTATACTAACGCTCATAGGGTCTATGTCCCCCAGGGTACTGCCGGAATGTACCCTGGGTACGGTCCGGTATACCGGAACGTACCCTGGTCACTATTTGATATGGTTAGGGTTAGGATTAGGGTTAGGATTAGGGTTAGGGTTAGGGTTAGGGTTAGGGTTAGGGAGTAGGCGTAGGCGACTCCCTAGACTCGTTAGTGGAGTAGGCGAGGTCCGGTCCAGCATATTAGATAGTACCAGGGTACGTTTCGGTATACCGGACCATACCCAGGGTACGTTCCGGCAGTACCCCGGGGGACATAGACCCTCTCAGCTATACTAACGTACCCTAACGTGTCGTCCTGCCATAAAATTAATTATTGAATATTGTGACCCATACGGAATACTGATAGTGCAAACATATATATGGCCAGATCTTGTGTTGCGTGTCTGTGGTTCAGGAGACTGTAAGTGTAACGAAGAAAAAGAGTGCTAAACGTTATTGGAATTGACAGTTTATAATCTTGTATTAGTAAATCTCTTGTAGAGTCTGGTCAGGCTATATTTGTATATTGCTATTAATTTTAATGTACAATATAGTTAATGTGAATAGCAGTAAATATTCTAATGATGCATTTATATTTGTTCTAGTGTCTTCAATGTCATACCTGGAAGGTGTTCCATTCAAGATTGGAGATAAATTTATCTGTCCATCAAAGGTATATAGATCTGTATTTTATGGCAGTACAGTTAAATCATTTCACAGTGATTAGAGAGCCTCCTCTGGTTCATATTTTCTGTGAGCAACACATGTGGTATTTGTTCCATTACATCATACTATGCACACGCGCACAGATTCACATACAAGTACAGACACACAGACTATATACAGACACAACCCACACATTCATGGGCCTCTACGCATGCATGCACACACCCATGCATGCACGAACCCATGTACATGCTCCCACAGATTTTCTCTCCCTCCAACTGTATCTAGGGATTTACCCATATAGTTGTTAATAGTGATACAATTTCACTAACTTTATTTTAAATTTTTACATGTCGTGAACTGTAAATAGTTATTTGTACAGTAATCACATATTATAAACTTTCTAAAGTGTGTGAGACAATATAATTTTTCTTTTACTTTTCAATTTGTAGATAACTCTGCCCATTAGCTATCACCAGTGGAACCCAAGTGAAATTCTCAACATTGATGTGAGTTCATATATTAGAAATAAATAAGAAGTTAAGAATAATAATATATATAAGATTTTATATATTTTGAATGAACACGTAGATTGAGTGTATGCGTTGATGACTCATAGTGATATTTTGAATTTTTTGCAGTATGATTTTAGTTTAGAGGAGAAGGTAGTAGCATGGGCAGAGGGCCAAAGGGCAGCAAAAGAGGCAATGGCCCAAGCCAGAGCTCAACAGGTATGGATTTTTAATGCCCCCAGTTTCAGTTTGCTGGAACCTTTAATAACACTATTATTATGCAAAACCCCATATACACTCGTTGCGACACATAACATACAAAATGTCCAACTTCTTTTGCTGTGTAGATTGAATATTATATATGATACAAATCACGCTATGTTATTAAGTTGTTTTCACGGCACAAGCTGTCTGCATAAATGGCTTCGAGTCGGTAGGTCATTCGACAACGCAGCAGGTGTGCGTAACGGTTCTTTGTGCTGGCACTTGCTAGCAGCGCGAGCTACGCGTAGACGTTTATGGCAACTCCAGCCTCGCTGGCTGTGATGCTGTGTTTAAGTTGTAACCTGTTGTTTGAGTTATTAAACCAGCATTAAACCTATACAATGAATGTTATTGTTCTTACGACGGAGACATAACAATATAGAGTGGCTGTTCTTCCTGATGCAGGTAGCAGCAGAAGTCGAGGCGTTTTCCAGACAGTCTGGCAGCAGTGAGAGTGACCAGGGTGAGTCAAGTGGGGAGGGCAGTGGCAATGACCGGTCCGACGTTGTGGCTGTCGACAGAGACCCTCCCGGTGGTGACATGTACACAGATGAGGTGTCAGCTGCTAGTGGTGCTACTGGAGGAACCGTCACTGGCTTATCTGGTTTTGCTCAGCCGCGTATGGGCATAGAGAGCAGCACGAGTCTTCCGGCTGCCGCTAAACCCTCGGTGGGAGGAGTCTGTGAAGGCATGTTGCAACCAATACAAGCAGCTGCGAAGCAACCCGACAACCAGGCGTCATCAGTGGAAACGAAGCATACGATCAATTTAGAGGACTTTGAAAATAACACCGATCCCTTCGATAGCGTGGAGTTAAAGACCATAAACGATCTGGAAGAGTTGAAAAATGTGCTGCAGGGTCCGGGACCTCCAACCGATGCACAGTTATCGGGCTACCAGACAGGCAACTATGGCCAAGCTTACCCAGCTGGAAATCAGGCGGCTGCTGTGTCTCAAGCACCTACAGTGTCAATGTACAGTGACGTCTATGTTCCTCGCCAGTTCTTTCCCATACAGCAGACTATTCCGCCTATACCCAGCAGTGCTGCACAGACGTACAGCTATGCCGACACTGCAAACACATACAGTCAAACTGGCCAGTATTCGCGGTATATGGGAGACTGGCCCTCAAGCTTTGGCCAGCCTCCATGTGACGATAGCCAGAACTCAATCAGGCGTTGCAGTAAAAGCACACCAGACATCTCGATAGAAGATGACCTAGCTCCCGTCTCAACGAGGATTAGGTCTAAATCCAAGTCTCCACCACCAAGAGCATCCAACGTAAGTTTTGCTGCACGTTCTACCTATCCTTCGACAATGTATAAACTCATGAAATCACCTAGTGTGTTCACCTTGTTTGTTTATAATGTGTTGTAATATGTAATAATGTGCATGTTTGCTATATTTTCGAATTGCACACGTTACAAGTTGTTAACCATAATAATGATTGTTTGTTAGCCATTTTTAGCCATTGTTATATGCCCCTCTTAAAATCTCTGTTCTACTAGATGTGGAGTCCGTATCGACAGCTTCCACCAATTCCCAACAGCCAGGATGGCAGAAGGTGCAGTGAAACATCCAATAGACTCCCATCTCTGTCTGAGTCTGAAACCATGGTAGGTAGCATTACTTGGCACATGCAAAATTGATGCAATTAGAGTAAGCTACAGTTGCAGTGGTTTCTCCCACCAGTTAAATATTCAGTATCCATGATAATAAATTATCTGAGTAGTCCATGATGTCTAATGCCCTCTATAAATTGCTTCAGGTTTTATCAGGTGATCATGAGATTGCACACGGAGATTCTGTCCCTACGGTGGTTTAAGCATGGTGTTATTTTTAGCTTTTTGTTTAATGTCATAGCTATGCTTGGCCGCTGATCACATGGATCACAAGGGGTCAGATAAGAGTTACGTGATTAAATTTGTAAAGTTAATTTCCTTGCATCGGTTTGATAGGTCTACGATGTCAGATGAGTAATGATGGGGATAGGGATGATAGGAATGGCATTTGCAATGGAGATGGGTCTTTCACTCTAATTTCTACAATCAACCGATTTCCGATTGATTTAGAGTTAAATGTCAAACATGTGCTAAATGTTCTCTCACTATATCCAGGTAAAACAACTTGCACTGTCAGAGGAACCAAACCCCTATAATGAGCTAAGTAGTGAGGCACAGTCACTGGTGATGCAGCTCACTGGCATGGGTTTCCCCCACGCACGGACCGCTAGGGCTGTCAAAGCACTAGGCACGGATGACAAAAAGGTGATGAGAAGCTCTAACATTTGATTTCTTTTAACGTTGGAACGGTGATTATGCAGGAAATTCATTAATTAGTCAACATGTAGAGGCAAGTAGGAGGGATATGATTTCGGTAAAGTGCAGAGGTGTTGCTAATTTGGTTTTAGGTGGGAGTGGAAAAAGAAGGCTTGGTTACCATAATAAGGAGAGTGTGCATTAATTGTAAAAGGGGAGAAAAGGTGTAAGAATAACTTGAAAGGGGGCACATGATATGTCACAAGTGTGTGTCAGCTACCAAAAAAAATGTCATGCTTGTGAAGGAAAAAAGACTATGAAAGGCAATTTTTCATACATGATCTCATTCTTTTATGTTTGTGCAATGCAAATTTAAGGTTGTTGACCACCTGTGTCTGGTCGATGCGTTAACAGAGGAGGGGCACTGCAGTTTGGATGCCGAGGATGCTCTTCACATATTCAATCAGGACAATAAGAAGGTGAGTACTGGCCATACTTGAGGAGATTATAGTAGATTTATTATTATTCATTCCCGGTTGTATGAAGTGCTTCTGTGTTAAACTATTACGTTTTGAAATGGTTTTGAAATTGGAATTATTAGGGCAAAGCTAGTATTGCCTTCTTTACTAAAATGATTAATTTTAGCATGCCATGGTGAGCTGCAGATCTGGCAACTTACTTTTTATTAACAGTTTCCATGTAGAAAAGATGGATACATTGCCATTGATGTATTAGAGAAAAGAAAACTGTATTTTGTTACATGAATGTTTGATGACACATCATTAATGCATGTTATTTGAATTAGTTCATTTGCATGCTTGCTTACAGGCTGCTGATTTTCTGAAACTGAGAAGACAGTGCTTGGACCTTGGTTTCCAGCCGTCAGCTGTCCGTGAAGCCTTAATAAAATTCAACCTTGATAGAGACAAGGCCCTTGATCACCTGTGCTCCACATCTTAGTTTTCTGTCATGATAGCTAATGAACATGAGGTAAAACCTTGGCTCATGGTTAATGATTAATCCTAGACAAGTACAGGCTGTACAATAGCTAGTAGAATCTCATGATCATGCCAATTTGTGATTTTATTTTATCTGGTACAGATCTAGAGGTTTGATACATTTTATTATTGAATTGCTAAATACGATCAAGCATTATTGTGATGTTGGCTTTATTGGAGCTTTTCCTGCTACACAAATGATTTGAGGTGAAAATAGGCCTTTGTCCAACATCAAGCCGATGATGATGATGATGATGATGATGATGCTGCTGCTGCTGCTACGGCTGATGATGATACATATCGAGTTTAGTCTAGTACTTGCATCTAAAAGTTGTATAGGCATGCAAAATCAGAATGAACTCATGAATATGGCACTAGGCTTGTGCACTCAGAAAATATTCACCAAGTATGCTATTGAATTTTTTTGGGGGAGAGTGGTTGTAAAAAATATCATCTTTAATATGTATACTACGATAATTGTTATATTGACTCGTACTCTTAAATAATGTAAAAGAAATACTTGTGTTTACACTAGTATATTTTATTTTTGCATACAGATAATATGCCACAATGTCATGTCACCAGAAAATGTAGAACTGTAGAATAAGTTCATCCACATGAATAATTATATCTAGAAAATGTGAAAAAGGGGAACGGGCTATGATAATTTATTCGCTGCCCAATCGGTTATTTAACACATCAATACTGTATGAACTTGACATACTCTTCTTTTCAAATCTTTCAAACAAGTTTTGAAAAGTTATGTAGGGGATGGTGCAAAATTCTCTTGAAAATAAACACCAAGGACCCACTTCCAAAACATGAATAGATATGACTACAACATCTTATTGTCCTCATTTTTGCACGAGATGTCAAGGTTATGACATTTTAGAATTATGATGTCATAGCGGCTTATGATGTGTCTGACAACGAGCTTCTGCATATCTGATAATGGTACACATATACAACTATAGATAGAAGCTGCATATTCAGAGACACATGGAAGTGTTGGGGGAATCCCAGCTCCTTAATTCAGCAGAATCAGCAATACTTGTAACTCATGCACTGAATCAAGAGTCTGAGTGAAATTTATATTAAATGATATTTTGCACCCAAGTTCATCCACGTGTCTATAGGCAGCACAGATACTTGTATATAGGTATTAATGGAAATGTCATATTTGGACTACGGACAAAGTGAAATTCAATAGTTGAGAGCAAGTCAAACGAAACAGAAGAGGAGGACAAGGAGGAAGTGTGAAATATAAAACACAATATTGCCATAATTGTGCAACATAATGCATCTGGTTATAAATAACAAACATACATCTGTAGGCCCAAGTCGTGACGCCTCAGCTAAATTTTGCGTTCTATTTTTATATAGTGCAAAGATGAAACGAAATGCTTGAAATGTTACACAGGTTTGGTAAAATGCAGTGAACCCGCATGCCCATGTTGCAGGCACCATGAGAACTAATTAAACTAACTTATCATCTTTAAGTGGATTCAGAAAAGAAGACGACTGACTGCACAAATGCAAATGTTGCAATAGAACGGGCCCATCACGGACATAATATGACGTTCCTAATCTGCAATAACTTTCAAGTTTCAACACAAGGTCTACTTAACGGACTCACACAATGTCTCACTTCGATTTTAGACAATTATGATACAAACGCACAACAATAAATCGACACTAAAAAAACTCAGTAATATTGCACTGACATTACTGTTGTTCGTGTATATTAAAAAGAGATCCATACTAAGTTTCAATCAGTAAACCCTTCAAGAAAGGGGTATAAACAAAAATTAACTATGCAGATGTTTTATGGTAATAACAATAGCATCTACACAAAATTCACAATACGAATATGATGAATGATATTCAACCGAAGTCAATAAATATTATGCCACACTAACAATTTTGCTATGTAATTACTACATTCCACCACTCGGTGAATAAAAACAAATAGTACAGGCCTATAATCTTTAAATTCCATACAGCCTCAATAACTAAACATTTAGACGGCATGTAATTACGATGGTCACTCTACTATCCAATGTCTATCTAACACCCTCAGAGTCAGTAGAGCCTGATGAAGACTGCAAATAGAAATTAACGGCTTATTTCTAAGATGGATCATCAGTTTTTTTTTATATTCCAGTCTACAATGTCTCCTATAATTATAGTGGCTTTCATTAAACTAATAAATAAAGCATAGTAGGTGTGAGAATTAATTTCTTCCATGTCACTGTCTCACTAAGTAAAATATCAGACAACTATTTACATAATGTACATAAAATATCTAAAGGAAAATATATAAAGTAACCCGAATATATACATATACAAACCAGATTTCTTTTATATAGTGGCAATGTGATTGTTACACAAAATGATATTCTTGTTTGAAGTCCCAGCACAGTAAAAAGTTTGTAGGTCAGTAAAAGAAATATACATATTTCAATTATCTGCCTAAAGTATTCAGTAACAATACAAATATTCTATAATCTAGATGTACCACCATTTCTCTCATAAACTACAATGAGTTTAGACATAACAAATATCTTCACTGAATGATATACGTCTTGTAATGATCAATCATGCCAATTAGACAAGTGCACAAATAATGCAATACTGTATTACCATTGAATACAGTGCTTTCACTGGAGTTCCTCATTGCATTAAAATTTCGCAAACCTATTTTGCAATGATTAATAGAGTACTGCCCTCACAACGTACAAGTTCACGTGATAACAGCACCGTGAAATGCACTGGTTATGAGTAGGTATACTTATACATACCACACGTCAGGTACCTACTAGCATACATAAAGATAATAATAGTGAATTGTTTCCTGAAAATACATCCACCATAATTTTACTTACAAAAAAGCATACCTTAGCTAGTTATAGAAAATTACAGTATCCATAATGGCCTCACTCTGCATAAGGCCGTAGATAACTCATTTTGTCTGATGAATGCAATCCAGAGAGACCGGATACAAGATGGCCTAATTGGCCTTGCGCAAAAGATGCGTTGTTCCCCGACCGCCGAAAGCGGTTAAGCCGCGCACTTCCGCGGGACTGGGCGCACGCGGCCGCGGGATGCTATGCGTAAGCTCCCCGCTATACGCATTCGCGCGCCGAAGGAAGGCGGGCGCGCGAATGCGTATAGCGGGCAGCGTAACATCGGCGGAGTTTTCGGGACACGTACATCGGCTCGGCTACATCGCTTTCGAGGGGTGTTTCCGATTATGGATTGACACGCGTTTGTACATCCTCGCCGTCGTACCGTCCACTGCCCGTTTTTCCTACTTATCTGGCGTTCTCCCACTATCTCCTCTCTTTCTCGCACTCCCCGCAGTCTGTCCTCTCCTCTCTCTCTCGCTCTCGCTGCGCTCTGCGCGCACGGGTTATGTGCATATATATATTTGTGTGTCAGTGGCGGCGTTTTGTAGATTAGCTACGTGTAAAAACTCCCACAGGCCACGCCAGCCGCTGCTCGGCACGACGTGCCGTCGCCACCGCAGCGCGGGTCAAGAGGACATATCAAATTCCATATTGCATATCGCTTGCGATCTTACTATCCGAACTCGAAGAATTCTCAGTGTAAAACATCCATCATCAGTCAGCCCTGCGAGAACTAAGATGGCTGGTGGCCCAGTCACCGACTCCAGCTAGACTCGTACGAGCCTTAACTCGGCCAAGTATCTTTCGCTACACTAAAGTTATAGTTAGTGGAGCGTGTCAAACTCTCCACCGCGGGGCAGTCTAAGGAAAAATCTCTCGCAAAATCCCTCGAAGAGAGCCTCGTCGCGCCAACTATGGCCACGATATGTACGAGAATAAGTTCAGGGCGTTAAATTAAATAAATTAGAAATCGCTTTTATAGACGAAAACGTAACGCGCGAACCAAAAAAATTAGCAATTACGACCATTGGATTTATTCTCGCCCTACGTGCAGAGTCGAAAGGCTTCTGCAATCGCCAGAACTGCTCAATTGACCAATTCTCGGGCTTTCTGTAGTACCCAGAGGGATTCGAGTAGTTAGTTCTACATAGAGGGCAGCGAGTTGGATGAAAAGGCGCCACGAGGTGGCGCTGTTCGCGCTTCGCGCGTATATCCGGGCTGCAGATCGTCGAGTTGGATGAAAAGGCGCCACGAGGTGGCGCTGTTCGCGCTTCGCGCGTATATCCGGGCTGCAGATCGTCAAGAGCGTATAAAGAAGGAGAGCGTACAGTGGTGAAATGCTGAAACCATGTTGCAGTATTATTTGAATAAATAAACTTTCCCCGTTTTATTTTGACGATTCTTTGCAGTATTATTGATCAGCTGTCCTACCTTGTTAATATAAAACAAACCGCATGTCCCTACGATGCCCCTACGCTGAGATAATGAGCGGTGAAAATCTGGTATTTTCGCCAAAAACCGACTCGAGATACCTGCTGACTGCGACTGTCTCTCGCTTTGAGATAACTTCGGGAAACCTCGCGTGTTTCCGTCAATGATTGACAAATGGAATGAATGACGTCTGTTATTGATTGCCATAGTGGTGACCCCCACCTGTGCCCACCTCACGCTGGATGTAGTAAACTCTGTAGTACGGACGTAATGAGTCAGCGCTACCATGGCGCTACGCAGCGGTGACTAGAAGCAACACACTGGCCACAAAGCGAGAGAAGGTCGCAGCAAACAGGGATCTCGAGTCGGTTATCGGCAAAAATACCAGATTTTCACCACTCATTATCTCATCGTAGGGACAAGCGGTTTGTTTTATATTAGCAAGGTAGGACAGCTGATCAATAATATTGCAAAGCATCGTCAAAATAAAACAGGCAAAGTTTCTTAATTCGACTAATACTGCAACATGGTTTCAGCATTTCACCGTTGTACGCTCTCCTTCTTTATACACTCTTGATGCAATGTCACCCACGGTTTGCATTCTTGGTAATTTATCGTTGATAGTTTGCCGTTGGCTACTGACCATGTAATGGTATCTACATTGGTCTGTGTGGGTGGGGAGGGGAGGGGGCAACTGCCCTCCTGCCTGCTAGCTACGGCCCTGCGTAACTGACATCCTCCATGAGTTTGTGTATGCTTTTCTCCTTGCTGCACAGCAGCTGTTGCAGTTCCTGCAAGTACTGCTCATGGTCCTGTGATGCAATAAAAAATGATCGATTCAGGTCAGCATCATTCTCAAATGTGACAAAAACATTAAAATACTTTTCCACAATAAGGTTAATATGGCACCACATTGCTATGCATACAGGTTACTGGTCGGATAATCGCAATAGCCATATTGCCACTGCACCTGGAGATCTTACAATTATCTTACCTTGCTTCCATCTCGAAGAGAAGAGAGTAGCTGGGTCTCCTTGTAGTTTATCTGTCTGAGATCATACAGAACCTGAGCATGACGTGATGCAAGTTCCATCACCCTGCAACCAAATTACAGGTATCATGAACAATATCACTATGCACCACAGATACATTCAGAATCTAGCTGAAAGAAATCTAAGATGTCATATAAATAGCATACCATGTCATGTAGTATTAAAGTTGCACATGCGCAAATGTCATACGATCATACTATATTATAAATTAAACAATGGTGTAATTCATAACTGTATAATAACATTAACGTCATGACAGACCAACTTACCCTGTCTTATTGTGAGTGCTTTCTTTATCAGCTTCTGCTTGCTTGCTTGGCAGGTAGTCCTTACTAGAGGCATCTACTTTCGGGAAATACTTATCAAGCTTTGGTTTTCTCCCAGTATGTCTGTGTTGCTTGTGCCTTCCCAAACTGTCGCTACTAGATTGCTCCAGAGTAGCACAAGCAAGCTGACCAGTTTCCCCACTTTTGGCCGCTCCTATTGCAATGTCGCTTTCCTTTGGTGATTCATCAGTGCTATTCATAGAAAGAATAACCACTTAAAATGACATAGACAATTACACATATTATATTAATTATATTAAATGTTATGCATATACATAACATATACATTTATACATTGATAAAACATTTATTTTAACATCGACTACAGTTAACACATGGTGGTATAATGATTCATTTATATCAATTATGCAAAGTATCAATTACCAATAAACATACCACTTGGATGACAAGAGTTCTTCATTTTCCTGTGATTTTCCACTACAAGATGCTGCTGTATCCTGCTTCATGCTAATATTATCATTTGATTCAGATACATGTTCCTCTCTAGTTGAAACTGGGTTAGTCTTAACAGACCCAGCATGGCTGTCCTGAGCCAGTCTCTCTTCCTGCGGTTCCAAAACCAAAGAAACAAGATGATGTCCGATTACTGCTTTATCGGAGCTGCAGTACTTCAGTGACCAGCCGACCACTTCCCCTGACTCTGAATCGACACTGCTTGGCACCTTGCACTTACGTGGCCGAACGACGAGAGAGTCATGAGCAGACGAATCAACAATGCTCTGCGGTTTCTCCAGTGCTTCTTCGTGCGTTTTCTGCTGCCCATTGCTTCCACTGCTTTCTCCGTGTGGTGAGCGCACCGGACGAAATGCTCCTCTCAGGTTAGAGAAATCATTCTCGGAGGCGGCCACGTGTACAACCGTCTCACCTTTAGACACATTAGTCGAAATGTGACGTGTCGGGGTGACTGCAGACGGTTGAGCCGGTGCAATGCACTCTACTAATGTCGCACCATTGCCTGATATATCACCAACGTTCTCAGCATTAGATATATCGATGGCATCTACAGACTGCACACCAGCACTGTTGCTCCTAACCGGTATATCCATCTGCTGATATCCGATGTGGTCGGCCACACGTGAAAACGCCCCCAGAGGGTGAAACTGAGTGTCGTATCCCTCGTGCGTGCTGAAACCCGGTGTGTGCGCACCTTGGGACCAACCTGAATCAGTCTGGATGGAGGAAAAGCTATCTTGATGGTCTACTCCCTGTGATGTGATCCCCATTTCCTCTTGCTGCAGCACTTGTGCACTATGGGGCTCAGTAACCTGGGTGTCAGTTGAACTAGAAGGGGAAGAATCGCTACGAGCTTTTCCATATGGTTCGAACCACGCCGATCTGCTCCTGTGGTGTGAGACAAGCAGTTCTTGCCACGACCCAGATTGCAGACTTGAGCCCAGGCTAGAGTCATCACTGCTATGGTCTCCTTCACCAGGTGTGGGCACCACTGTCTCTGTCACGTCGGACTTGCCTGTCATAATGAAAGCTTCCTGTTTGATACTGACAATGAGTTCAATCGCACATTTCGTATGCTCATAATAGTCTCATTTCATTGAAATATCACACCATACCACAGCAAATTAATTCAATTTAATGAACACACATTTGACAACAACTAAACATGTAGCATAACATTGCACAGCACATTAATTCTGTAAAACGTATTCGGATATGTTAAACTGAGGTCTACACTAACCAGATGGGTATCGGCTCTTGATGTGTGCCTCAAGGTCAAGCGGTATGTCCTGTGTCTGTATAACCTCGTCGGCCATTTGCAATGACCGCGTCTGTACAACCTCATTGGCCATTTGCAATGGCAGCTCGTCTGCACGAGTAACGTCCGCAGATTCTTTCACGTGTGTGAGCTTGCCACTGTCAGACTGTGCATCATTGACAGCCCGTGCATCGCTGTCTGTATGCACACCGCTACCTGCCGGGAACTCCATGCTTCCGATTTGGCCCCTGATGAATGTTGGGGACAGGATCCTCAGTGGTACATTTCTGGACACATGCTTTACGGTCAGTCTTGCTGTCTGCTCGTTGCTTTCCTGTGTTGGTAATGGTAGCGGTGCTGATGTGGGTGGAGGGTTTGCATCCTTGCTTTGCCGTGTCGACTGCCCAGTTCCAAAGAATAGTCCGCCGTCACGAGCGACACATATCGCTCGATCATCGATGGAACGTTGTGATGACAGCCTTCGGTCAGCGACATATGATACGTCCGGGATGTAGACGGACACCTGTTATAGCACAATACCCTCCATTATACAAGCAGAGCAGACGCGACGGTAGGCTAACATGAACAGACAACTTATAACAACTTATAACCAATATCAGCGCTCAACTGACGTGTACTGTAGCCGGGAGGGGGAAGATGGGGAAGGGGCGGTGGAGGGGCTCTAATAGCAAAAGCAGTTCAGTCTTTGTTAACAGTAAACAAATTCATGTTTAACCTCCTCTTGAGGTCAAAAAGTTATCCGACACTTACTCTTCGCATGTCAGCAGAAAGTACATTTCATGGTCCTTTCAATAAAGCCATAAAAGTGCTAAATCACGCTGAAACAAAAAAGTTTTCATCGCTCCGTCAGACCATGTCCTCAGAAAATGTCTAAAATCTGCCTGTGCCCCATTGACCATTGACCTGTGTCCTCCATTTCGGCACAGTGATGGCTTTTCCTACCATTGATGCTCATACCCGACTATCACGAGCCTAGGTCAAGCCGTTTAGATTTGTGCCGCAATTCTGCATTTCCTCCCTATATACTTAAGTTAAGGAGGGAATGTTTCCCTTCTTCTTACACCTTCTTGACCTTTGACCTTTGACCCCCAACTTCCACATCCCAACTCGTTTTCGGATTACCCCCCCCCCTCCCCCTCCCCCCACGTCCCGAATATCGTGACCGTACGTCGAGCGGTTAAGATTTGTGCCCAACTGTTGACGGACGGACGGACGCACAGACGCATGGACGCACGCACGCACGGACGCTCATGCGATTCTACAAGCTGCATCTAACTACGTCAGATGAGCTAAAAACAGTAGAAATTCATTGACAAGTATATATCAGCAGTTACCTGTGATTGATCGAGACAATTGTCACTAAGACTTCTCTTGAAAGCTAACGTAGTGGAATGTGTAACCTCTATTCCAGAGCCGCAGTCATCTTTACTGGTTTGTATTGGTGGCCATGCCTGTATGTGGAATGGCACTTGAGTATCTTCAACTTTTTCTGGATGCTTGGCCGGACCAAGCTGATTATCTGAAAAGCAGGAAAGATCTGCTGAAAGATCCAGTTAGCAGTATAGAATTCTGTCTGCTGACCAGTAAGTTGGATGCAAGACAAAGTCCTCTTCACTGAGTGAAACGGTAATTTTCTGGCACAAAAAAAGCTGCGTAAACACACCTGCTTGGACATGACACGATTCCTCCTGGGTAGCCGATGCTGACACCGTGTGATGGTTGCTTGCACCATCTGTACGCACACCCGCTGTAACCTGCTCAACCGGCGACACTGCTTCGTCCTGTTCAATCACACTGCGGTCCAGCGGAGCATCCACATTGGCGACACGCTTCCTGCGACCGCTGCTGCTGTGGTGCCTCCTGCAATGCCGGTTTGAACTTCCCACTTCACCCGTCTGCGACTCCTTGTCGACGACCACCTGCCCCTGCCGGACCTCGTCGGCAGAACTAGACGTTGACAGCTGGACGACGGGCTCACCAGACTTAGAGCGCCTTCGTAGCATGAATGGCTTAATAGGACGGATGTACAACTGGGATAGCCCCGCCTGATCGTTAGGCAGGAGCTGAGATGGTGAGCTGATGTGTCGTGTCCTCATTACAGGAGAGATGGGCTGCTGTAGCTGCTGCTGCTGCTGCTCAGGGTACTGCTCCTGTTCCCCCTGCTCCACCTGCTGCTGCTGTTGCTCCTGTTGGGGTGGCAGCACAAACTGAGATGAATCTCCTTTCTGAGACTGTGATGTATCACTGCTGCCTGACGCATCCAGCCTCCATGACTGTGCTTCTGCAGTTGTCGTGGACAGAATATTCTTCTTACTGCAAAAATGGGTCAATGGATATGGTGTGACACGTGTTTGGCTACATAGTAGGCAGTAGTCACTCTCTAATGCATCCCTTCTTAAACAAGAGCCGCAGAGCGTCTGGGCTCATCTGAGGTCTGTTGCTACGATTATAAACGTAAAATTTCAGTCGTGCGTAGTACCACATTTGTTAGGCGCAGATATGCAGACACGCAGTTGCGTACACATCATTGTTAGGACACGCCCACTATCGCAGATGGAAGGTAGGGGGAGGGTGGGGGGAGGGGGTGGGGAGGTGGGGGAAGGGGCGGGAGGAGGGGTGGGGGAGGGGGAAGGGGGAGGTGGGGGGAGGGGCCTCTAATAGCAAAAGCAGTTCACTCCTTTGTTAACAGTCAACAAATCCATGTTTAACCCTCCTCTTTGAGGGTCAAAAGGTTATCCGACACTTACTCTTCGCATGTCAGCAGAAGGGACATTTCATGGTCCTTTCAATAAAGCCATAAAAATGCTGAGTCACCGCTGAAACAAAAAAGTTTTTCAATCGCTCGTCAGACCATGTCCTCAGAAAATGTCTAAAATCTGCCTGTGCCCATTGACCTTTGACCTGTGACCTCCAATTTCGGCACAGTGATGGCTTTTCCTACCATGATGCTATACACCGACTATCACGAGCCTAGGTCGAGCCGTTTAGATTGTGCCACAATTTGCATTTCCTCCTATACTTAAGTTAAGGAGTGAATGTTCCCCCTTATTTTACACCTCTTGACCTTTGACCTTTGACCCCAGCTTCGACATCAACTCGTTTTCGGATTACCCCCCACGTCCGCGAATATCGTGACCGTACGTCGAGCGCGTTAATGATTTTGTGCCCAACTGTTGACGGACGCACGGACGCACGGACGGACGGACGGACGGACGCACGGACGATCATGCGATTCTACAAGCTGCATCTGACTATGTCAGATGAGCTAACAAAATTGACATAATTATAGCACAGTATATGAACGCAATAAAAACGCAGCACATCTGTTGAAAACGCAAAACGATGACTCTTCTTATACCTTGTAGATGCCGCTGTGGTATCTGCTCTCAGTTGGTGTGCGGCGAGTTGCCTCGCATGCACATGAAACGACCCTGTGCGTAGGGAATGAGAGACATGTGTCGCGTCACTGGCGCCCTGTTCCCTGCAAGACTGCTGGCATTCGACGCAAACAAGCTCCTGCAAGCTGTCAGCAAACTGCAACGTGCGAATCGTTCTCTGCACAAACTCCGCTTCCTGTCGCAATGTTGCCAAGACAACCGTCTCCCCCGGAAACAGCAGCGCATTGCGCAAGAGCATTGCAAGCTTGCTCTGTCTGAAGGGTGTGTGTCTACTGCCAGTCTGCAGTGCATGTATGCAAGCCCTCAGCACGAGGAAGTCCTGGTTAACGCTAGCAATCTCTGTGACCCTTCCCGGCCTCTGCTTGCCCTGGTTGGTTTGCTCACAGCTGGCGAGGTCAACAAATGCCAGCTTGCCGACCTCACGGCCAGCATTTGTCACTCTCAGCTGCAGGATAGTGTGCCAGGTAGACCCGGGACCGTTGCTCCTGTGAAAGATTGCTTGCATGAAAAAAATGCTGTCATATACTGCTAATACGTGATTAAAATATAGGGAGACGTATGTTACACGTATGGGTTACGCAGATGCATTTACATATTGCTCGTTTATTACATATTAATTATGCATACTTTTATTACACTATTTATGCATACTACATAGATTTATATAGTTTTGTCAGGAATACTGAAATAGCTTTCCAGCTCCAGAAGTGTCTCTATAAGAACTTGCAAGTTACTGTCAATTATAAGATTGCCTGGGATGGTGGTATTCGACATATATAGCCAGCTCACCGGGGGTGCTGTCGCCTATGCGTGTTCAAACCATTTTCCATCACCTTCTGCAGAGCAACTATGTCCAACACTTCTACCTCCTTAAGACCATTAATTAGCACTACTCCACTGCTCTGCTCCTGAGCAATTACCCTGCAATCAAAAATAACTAAATCATATTCTTTCAAATAGCCCCATCATGAATTCAGACAGGTGTAATTAATTTAAGTTGCCGGCTACTGGTAGAAACATGTTAAGATGTTCCTAAATGTCGTAGCGAAACGGTATATATGATACTGTCTCAATTCTACGACGATGAAAAACATTGCAGGAATGGATGCACATTCAATGTAATGTACTGCAGGAAATCTAATATTTTATAGAGTCGTAACTGGGTTGTGAATAATCAAGAGAAATTACAACAAACAAAACAACAGAATAGGAAGGCAAGTGAACATGTCACTTCTGGCGGGTGAGAGTGGTAACTGACGTGCCTGTTCCGTGAGTTAAGCAGATCAAGCAGACGACCTTGGAGAACCTCACAGAAACTGACGAACACTTGTACACGACGACTGGAGCCATCTGTCATTGTGCCGAGATGTGCAAACACATCACTTGCCGCCTGCCTGTAGAGACCGGGCAAGCTGCCCTTTCCATGGATTGTGTATGTCTTGCCTGAGCTTACCTGCCCATAGCTTACAACAGTAAGGCGCTTACTGTAATAGAAAGAAAGGATATTGTAGGAAGGATTAGATCATGCACACAGAAGCAACACCATTATTCTAGCATCACAATCCCAAACTATCTAAGATGTTTATAATATATCACACGTATATTTCTATATATAGGTCAGTGTGGTCCACGAGGGGTTTTAACATGTAAAGCCGACAGGTTTGAGTTTTGGGCCGACAGGTTTGAAAATCGCCGACAGGTTTGGATTTCAGGGCGACAGGTTTGAAATAGCAAAGCAAGAAACACAAACAAAGCAAAATGCAACTGTACTGCACTGTCGAATGGGACGACGTACGCGTAGTCACAGCGCGCGCTTGTAGCATACACTATTACAGTCTATTACACTGTTTTACTCTGTGCATGGTCTTCCACTTGTCGGGCAGTCGAATCATAAAGTGTGTCTATACGTCTTCTGAGCTGCATGCTCTGATTTATGCGCGCGTGCCTGTGTGTCTGTGCCTGCGTGCCTGCGCACATACCTGCGCGCATGCGTGCGTGCATGCCTGCGTGCGTGCGTGCCTGTGTGTGCATGTGTACCTGCGGGCGTGCCTACGTAGACCCGTAGGATTATAGAACGGTAATCTATGGGAAATCGTAATGAAATTCACACGTTTATTTTTGCGTGCCGACACACTCGTGTGTCATTCCTGATTGTAGCTTTTTCCTCAATTCCAGGAAAGAGTTTTGCTGTCGCTCTCTCATAGTCCAGCGGTGCCCATCCCCTACATTTTAGTAGTGATTAGCACCACGTGACTGAAACAATCGTGCACCTCCCCCCCGTACTTCAATCAATGCCGCCCCCAGCCAGCAGGCACGTACGCAGCGTCGATGTGCACAGCCACAGACGCATGCCTCGCGGGCCGCTTTTTTCGGCAACCTTTGAAAATATAATGTGAGAATGTCGTGCGATAGCGCCCTGGCTCAAAGGATGTTAGGATTTTACACAACTAGAAAAATTTTCATTGTCCAATCGGGCAACTAGCCAAACGAATAACTTGTCCGACATAGACTTTCACTTGTCCAGAGCCTCATATCATAGCGCTTCGCAATCCGCTATAAATAAAAAACAGCTCACAATAACCAGCCTATTTCATCAGATTCCTTCTAACTAGACTTCTAATAAGACTGAATCAGAACAAACTAAATGCCCTTATGATGGTGTCTGTGGAAGGCCCATCAGCTCAGGACTTCCCCTTCCATGAGGCAGTAGATGCCTGGGCAGCAATTAGGAAAAGGAAACTGGGAATTTAAAGCCTTTATTACGATATTTGATTTTCTACTCAGTAACGGCGCTCAATCCGAATAAAATATAGCAAAATATAGTTTCACCTTACAGTATATTTATTTGCATTTCTCGCACATTGCTTTATAACATTTTACTGGTGGTTACATTCACACTAGTATACAATTTGAACAATGAAAAATGACTCATGACTCATGACTCTTGACTCAACCCAAATTATTACCTCCGCCAAGGGGTTGGCAGGAGGTTATGTTTTCACCGGCGTGTGTTTGTTCGGCATGTGTTTGTTGGTTTGTGGGTTTGTGTACAGCCTAACTGAAAAAGTTATGGATGGATCGATTGTCATAAAATTTTCAGGATAGGTCAGAAATGGCCTAACTTAGAATTGATGAGATTTTGGTGGTGATCCGGATCCAATTAATTAATTAATTATAAAATTTTCAGGATGGGTCAGAAATGGAGTAACTTAGAATTGATTACATTTTGATGGTGATACACATCCAATTAATTAATTAAATTTTCAGGATAGGTCAGAAATGGAGTAACTTCGAATTCATTACATTTTGGTGGTGATCCGGATCCAATTAATTAATTAATTAATTAAAATTTTCACAGTGACAGAATTCAGCTGCCTTGGCGGAGGTCTGTGCTCTCCGAGTGCTCTATTTTTGAAATATAGGTCATAAATTTTGTGCAAAAATGCTCCAAAATAAGGCTCAGATTGCACCAGAGATCATCTAAAACCCCTGAGCTTCCAGGGCCCTAAGACGGGGCCTGGACCCCGGCCGCAAGTGACTTCGCGCTTTGCGCTCGTTATGTGCGCTTCACACACATAATTTCAAATAATATCTAAAGTACTCCTCTAAAGTTCCTAGTTTTACATTTTTACGAATTTTAGGTTGTGGACCACCCTGTAGGTAATATGGAATATTTGTTGTTTATATCATTATTGAATTTAAAGTAGATAAAATTTGCATAATAAATTATTGGTGACACTGACACTATATAGCAACTCTACAGTACTCTACAGTATCAAACATAATGATAATTACACCCATCTCAGTAGCTATCCCTTCAGTCATACATGTGGCTCAGACTGAGAGATAGACATCACATACATTATATAGCCAATCATTTTACAGCCTTGCTTTGATTCAAAGCCAATTCTGTGTGGGATTTTCTAACCACAAAACAACTGTGCTACTCACCCAGAGAATATCTGGTGGACAGATGGTTTAATTGTTGCTTCATATACGCTCTTGTTAGCTATGGTTTCATCAAAAACGTTGGAAAATTTAAAAATGTGCTGAAAAATACAGACATAGATTACATTAAT